GGATGATTGTTTCTTGCTTGTTTGTTTATTAATTGTCGATGCCTGTCGATTATGTCTGCTTGTTTCTCTCTCGCGAATCAATGGACTTTATTTTTTTTTTTTTTTAGCGTCTTTTCTTGTCTTTTACTTTTACATTTTTTTTTTTGAACTAAATTGCATTTTGATTTGTTTAATGTAATTTTTTTGTTTTAAAATAAAGAGTGTTGTGTTATTTGATTTGTTGGGTTGTGTTGTTTTTTCTCTTTTGGAACATTTGCAAGTATTTTTTTTCTTTTTATGTTTCTGTGCACTGTTTGGTTATTTTTATTATTTTTGTTTTTATTTTTTTTTTTTAGCCCACTTAATAGTTATTATTTTTATTTCAATTTTTGAAATAATTTTTGTTTGAACTTATTTTTTTTGAAATTTGTAGTTGTTAAATTTAGTCTAATTAGTACTGTAATTTATTTTTTTTTAAATTGCAGATTGTTAAGTTTAATCTTTTTGTTTGGCCGTCTTATTCACCGGTTTTCATTTTTTCAAAACTTTTTTGAAAGTTTGGGGGTTTTTTTTTTTTTTAAAAATTTTTCAGTTTTTTAATTGTTTTTTTTGGGGTTTTGCACCTTTTTGAAACTTGGATTTTTTTTTTTACTTTTTTTTGCGAACTCTCTCGCGGCTTTTTTTGTGATTTTTTGTGTTTTTTTTTTTTATTCTCTAGCTTTTTTTTACCAAAATTAGAATGCCCTCGGAACAATTAAAATAGTTTAAAAAATTATCCAAAAAGTCTTGATTATTTTGCCTTTTTTTCTCAATTATTGCTAGTTTGCAACATCGGTAATAAATTTAAACATTTTTTACTTACAGTATATTGTGCAAAATTCAATTCTAAAACTTTTTTCCTCTTCAATATTCGTCCAAAATGCATAGGTTCCAAGATATAAGTAAAACTCGGATAAAATAGATATTTTTTTAAATTTTGTAAACATTTCTGCAATTTTGAAAATGTTCCGGACCTCCTCCAGATATAGGGATCAACACTTTTATTACCTGAGTTGTACTGAAGGTATTCCAGCAAAAATTAGTTTGCCTCCTCTTACATTCAAGAAGTTGGATATTTCGACAGATCCGCCCTAGTCTAATTCTCCACTTTTATTTTATAAGTAATTCAAAGTGTCGAAAATATTCAATAGGACTTCGTGATATTTTGATTTTCGATTGCTTTTTGTAAAAAAAGAATTACACGTATTGTCTATCTAAGAGAGATTACTATTGGTTATTGTTGACACTGCCAACTTAGTAACATAATAACATATAACAAAATTGCAATTTTATATAAATGAAGGCTCCTAATACAGAATTTTCCAGAACACAGATCATTCTTCCACTTTAATATAATTCTTAAGGAATACGTAAGTAGGTACATATAATTATAATTTTAAAGCGACTTTGTTTATTCGTGAAATTGATCTCCAAATTAGAATGCAAAGGGTTTATATTATTTTACATGAACATTTAAAAACACCTTTAAGGTTAAACTAAACTAATAATTCACTTTTCACTTTTGCAGACTTATTTCAGTCAAGATTAACCTATATTGTTTATGTTAATTAGTGGTTTTCATTTTAGACATAGTTAATTAGAAATAGTTTTAATAATTCGAAAAAATTTGGATGAATGGAAAAAACTTTTTTAGTTTGTTTTCTGAAGCAATTTTGTGGAAGATCAATGTTTCCAGTTGAAAATTATTCACTATTATCTTAATATGTATAGTCACATGTTTTAAATGTGCCTTAAAAAGTTAAAATATATTTAGATATGTTCAATGATCTGTTATTTTTAGTTTTAATTTATGTACATTATTATATTTTTTTGTATTTATCAAGTCCGAATGTTTATATATTTCGAAATTACTGTAATTAACTTTTTGAAATGGTATACATGAAATATTTATTCTTGTCTCGATAACCTATTTAATAAAATTGTTAACAAATACAAATTATTAGCATCATATATCTGAAATAATCTGATTTTCATATAAATGCAAATATGTAATATATTATTTTCACTTTTTACCCAACGCGACCAATTCTCTATTTCCGCTTGAAAAGTGAGTCGACAAACTCATTCAAACTTTGCGGCGGCAGGATTTCATGGCAATTCAATGTCATTTCTGAGAAACCCAAGTTCTTCGAAAACAAATATTGTTCCATCGCGATGAAATGTAACCCAGCATCGTTATTAGATTTAATCATATCATTAACAGATAATTGTATTTCGTATCGCGTATTTAACGCTTTACGCTAAACGGATGAATTTCATTAACTAGCACGTGATTGTTAATAATACAATCCTTTAATCATCACTGAACGTTGGATAAAATAATATTTTCATATAATTACCACTGATTTCGGACAGTTATCCGATCTGTTAATAATAAATACAAAAAATGTTGTAGGATTCAAATCTGGTATGTATGTGGCACAACCTTTAATATATAGGGGAAGAAAACCTCACCGTTGGATAATGCTAGTAATAAAAATAAAAATTTATCACATTTTTCGGTAAGTATGTAATAAAACGATATGTGACACTTTTAATCTCGGCATACCAAAATATTCGTACATTTTTTATATTAATAAATATTCTTCATGGTTTACTATACTAATATAAGAAAATCCGCAAGGAAGAAAACTAGATTATGGAAATTGTAATAGCAAATTGGACAAGTATATCAAAAATTTAAAGACACAGATGTTTGTTTAAATTAATATTAAAATTAATGTACAAAGTTTTTGATCCTACATCAATTTAAAAAAGGGTATATCTTCAATATCACAAAGCTTAATATACAAAGACCATCGCTTGCGGCTGTTGTAGATGGATTTTTAGTACCTACGTCATTTTCCAGTTCTAATAAAAACAATAATGTTGACAATCACAGCGACAAGGAATGAATAACAATTTTGTAAACAACAATATACACGTCGATAAATTTTGTGTAAATGACCTGATTACCTTTAAAAAACTAAATCTTAAATTTGCAAAAGGACCAGACGATATTGTACCTTTTCCAGCACAATATTTAATTTACTTTATTTTTACGAATATTTCCTTCGACTTTGAAAAATTCTAGAATTTTTAATGTACGTGCGTTAACAACCATATGATATATGCTATACGGGTTATATATATTTCTGCAGGGACAAATTAGTCTTTATTTTGTATAATGTATAACATCAAGTATGCATAATAGGATTTTTTAAGGTGTCTGACGAATTTAACCATAATATACCTTCACGAAAGCTCATATACGCTGGTTTATTTTTATCACCGTTAAACTTTTTTAAATCCTACTTTAGTGAAAGAACAAAATATGTTGATTGCCGAGGTTTTAGGCATCTATAATATCTGTTATATTTGGAGTTCCTCAGGGCTCTGTCTTGGGACCACTTCTTTGTATATTGTTTATAAACAATATTATTGAACCATTGGATGTACTATTAGTCCAACTAAATGGTCCTTTAAATCGCAATTTTGGTCAACTTGCCTGAATTTTTTATATAAGTTAGTTTGAGGTATATAATAACAATAAGTGACAGTTATTTTTAAGTAAAATGAATGAATTTTACAATTTTTTTTTCAATCTGCTCTAAAAAATATATTGTCCTTTTTTCCGGGAAATAGATATATTTTTTAATTTTTAATAAGATTCATTTTTCTAGCTCTTACCCCTTTTGAGTTATCATGAAAAAACCCTTTATTTTATCTTTTTTCACCTCTGCCCGGGGGCTGAAAAAAAATTACTGTCACTTATTGTTGTTATATACCTCAAACTGACCTATATCAAAAGTTCAGGCAAGTGGACCAAAATTGCGATTTAAAGGCCCATTTTATTTGACTATGCTTACTATATTGGGATGACATGAAACTTTAAACATTGGTTTTAAACTGGAATGTAAAATACAAAATAGTTTGGTTTGAATAAATGATTGGTGATTATTAAATGAACTTCCATTTCTCGGCCATTTTGAGATTTGAATTTTTTCTCAAGGGGGGCTCAAATCGAAAAAATGTATTGGAAGTACCACCTCTAAAATTACTTTCTAAACACCTCTTTTATATAAATATTTGCACATCACTATGAAACACCCTGTATATTATGGCATATACTAAAAAAATTAAAAACCGATAATTTTTTATTACAAATTATTAACGCTATAGTAAAACATTCATATCCACCTTGGACCTATTTTTGATAACGAATTCATATTTAATACTCATATAAAAGCATGATTCTTGCTTTTTACAAAAACTTGGGTTGTGTGTGAAGAAATTCTACAACTTTTAATGATAAATTTATTTTAATGGATCAGACTAATTTTAAAGTCTCGTAATATTTTACTTAAATTTTGAATAAATAGTTTACATGGTCATAAGTAACTTTTTCTTTATAAATTTTTTAATAATAAAATGTATTGTCCTCAGATTACAGATCACGTTCCTAGGACTCCACTCGAAATGACTGTATCTTAAAACTCCCAGAACAAATTTAGGTCAAATTTTCACCCCTTCGCTTCAGGTGTAAAAACTGTAATTTATTACAAGATAAACTTGCTATATTCAGCAGTAAGTATACTATTAAAAAATATTCTTTTTAAAATAAACTATAAATATATTGTACTGTAAGATTCATATTCTGTTATATTAGAAGACGCATCTGACGACTATTTATTCTGTAAATATGTATTTTCTATTGTATATTTACCATTTTACATTTATAATGTAATTTTATTTATGTTACCTGGTGTTGTGATGTTTTTTTTTTAGTATCACATATTTTTCACATCCTACAATTGCTTTTGACGTTGGCTATTGCATGGCATATCGAAATAAATAAATAAATTAATATCGGGGGATATCTGGTGCCACTGAAACATCTGCAGAATGGCAACCACCCTATACAAACAAACGAGGGGTGTTGAAATATTTGAAACAAAGTCTCACCTGCTAAAGAACATCCGCTACGCCCACAAAGGATGCGGCATTGTCCTTGTGTCCCTGGGCAGGCTTGAGGAATGTTGCAGGAACGGTGGCAGCTTCCCCGGGGGCGGGGGAGGCGGCAACGCCGGACTCCGGGCACGGTCCTGATGGGACGGAGTGGCCGTTGCGTAGATATTCACCGAGGACCTCTGGTGGACGCAGGGCCTCCTGATGTCGGGCATAGCGAATTGCAACTTCTGCCAGAACTGGCGATCGCCCCATTCAATCACCGTGTTCGTCTTTAAGTACAGACGCAAGTCGGGGTCTAAGTCTCTGTGGGGCAGTTCGCCGGTCACGACGAAAATTAACCTGCGCCTGCGGTCCTTCAGAACCTCGTGCAAAGCGGATTTAAACTCAAACCGGCACCATTCGTTATGGAGGAAGTTCTTTGAGAGCACTATTATGGTGCGTCGCGACGACTCCACCGCTTCGATGATGGTGTCGGCCACGTACGCCGAGACGTTGAAATCTCTGTAGTGCAGACACAGTCTGTAGCCCGGATCCCCGGACTCCAGCCCCGGGGCTAATACTTGGCTAACGAAAGCCTCGTCCTTCACGCTGTAACTGACGTACGCGTCGAAAAGTCTGTCCTTATCTTGTTGTTCCTCGAAAGCCGTTGTTTTATAGCACATTCTTAATCCGCATCGCGAGTAAATCCACACGCGCAATTCCCGGCGATAGTAGAAAGCGCCACAAACAATAACAACGCTGGCTATGAAAACACACATCGTGCCGAGTAGCAGCGGCAGGTAGTCGTTCATCGCCTGGGTCTCGACCACCGCTCTATTGCTGCCAGCGTACGAATTAACACAGGAAGTGTTATTAAAGTCCGTCATGAGCGGGCCTAGGGCTTTAGTTATATTGTTGTACATGCAGGTGATTTTATTCGCGTCTCCCACTTTTCCATGATTGACTTGAAGCCACGTTTTAAACTTTGAGACGTATTGGCAATCGCAGGACCACTGATTATAAGCCAGTCCAATTTCCACGAGATACGGGTTAAGCGCAAATTGCCACACTTCAAACGAATGCAGGCGATTGCCGTCCAAGCGGAGAACTTCCAATTGCTTCAGCTCCAAGAAAGTCCTATTATCGATAAAGTGTATCATATTGCCCTGTAAATAAAGCTCGCGCAAGTATTCTAAGCTCGCAAGCTCGAAACCTAGCAGTTCCTTTATCCTGTTATTTTCTAAATGTAATATCGTGAGTCTCCGCAATCCGCTGAACGTGTGGTTGTAAATTGCGGCTATATTCGAGTTATTGGCGTACAAAACTTTCAAATTCTTACGGCCTATAAACGAGTGACTGGATAACTCACCAAAGTTATTCCCATCCAGATAGACCTCAGTCGCGTCCATAGGGATTCTGCTGGGCATCTCGGTGTACCCTACCCCCGAGCACTCCACGACGTTGGCTGACCAGGATTGGTCGTGATAACAGGTGCAGTTCGTGGGGCAGGTCATCTCGCAGTCACAGGCGTCGAAGTCGCAACAGTGGCACAGCGCGAAACAGTGCGTCTTGTATGTGCAGAGGAATTGAGAGGACTCGGCTTCTATCAGCGGGAGGTAATTACTGTCGCGATTGTAGAGCAGCTTGCAGTATATGCTCTCCAAGTCCATAACGCGCGGGTGTTGCCGCAGGTGGTCCAGTTTATTTATACGCTGCAGCCACTCCATGGTGCAGTCGCACTGGAATGGATTTCCCCCGATGTAGAATTCCGGCAGCGGCCGTTCCGGATCCACCGGAGTGAGCCGGAGCGCGTTGAGGTCCATGCTTATTATCTGATTAGCATACAGATCCACTCTGGTCAGGTTTGTTTTCTTTATGAACGTGTGCGGCTCCACAATCGATATGAGGTTGTCGTTTAGGAATAATAATTCAATGCCGCTCGGCACTGCGGCGGCGTTTATCTTTGTGAGTTTATTAAAGCTGGCGTCCAGCGTTTGCAGCCGCAGTTCAAAATCGAGGTTGTAGTGGTTGCCAAGTTCTCGTACTTTATTTTTGTGCATGTCTAGCCACTGCAAGCCTTGCGGAATTAATGCGTAGTCGAACCACTCGATCTGATTATCGGATATGTTCAGCCAGAGTAAACTAGGAATTTCAGAAAATAATCCGTTGACGTCGGTGAGGAGATTAGCGTCCAGTCGAATGGCTTGCAGATTAGGGCTGGCCTGGAAAGACCCCTGCTCGACCTTCTGGATTTTATTTCGAGCCAAATTTAAAATCTGCAAAGCGGGCAGGTCCGAAAAAACGCGTTTGCTGATATTCTGCAAGCGGTTTCCTATGAGTCTCAAGCCGTACAAGTTGCTCATACCCCTGAAGCCGGGTTCTTCCAAGGAGGTGATGAGGTTCTCTCCCAAATCCACGGTTCTCATCAGACGCATATCCTTGAGCGCCAGGGGAACAGCTTTTAGTAAGTTACCGTTTAAATTTAGATCCTGCAAGCTGGAACAATTTCTGAAAGCTTCAGGGTGGATTCCTTCCAGCAGGTTATTATCCAGAGCTAACAAAGAGAGAACGTACAGGCCATTGAGAGAGTAAGCGTCGAGGTACGTGATTTTATTATACGAAATTATCAACGTGTGCAGATTATTCATAGGGGCAAACGTGTCGGCCGGGATTGTTTCCACAGAGTTGTGCTCTAAATTTAGAATTTGCAGTGTATATAAATCCCTAAAGAACGACGGGTCCAATTTCGTTATTCTATTGTAAGACAGATTCAGTAAGACAAGTCTAATGAGGCCTGAGAACGTGTCAGCGTTAATCCAGGAACTAGTCAAAAGATTTCTGGATAGATCTAGCGCCAGTAGCTGCTCTAAATTCGCGAATAATCCAGGGGCTAACACACTAATGGAATTATTCTGTAAATAAATCTCTTTGATGGAACCGACACTGTCTTTGAATAGTTCAGAAGGCAGTGCCACTACTTTGTTGTTCGACAGGTCAAATATTTGCAGAGCTTTGAGACCTGCTAGAGCGCGATCTGCCACCATGGATATTTCGTTATTGTGTATGTACAGTTCACGCAATCTACGTAGGACACTGAAGCCGTTCGCGGGTATTAAAACGAAATGATTAAATGAGGTGTCAAGTACCTGAATGTCTAAACTGCAAGGGTGTGCAAACGTGCGTGTAGCCTCGGGGTGCTGCTGGGGGTCGTCGTCTGCGACACTTATCAGAGGCTGCGGCAGTCCCGGGGCCTTTTCCCTAAATCCCAGATCGCTGACGTCTTGAAGTCTATTCTCACTTACGTTTAGGGCGACTAGGTTAATCAAGGGGCAGAAAATGTTTTCCGGGAACGACCATATATTGTTGCAGCTTAGATCCAGCCTTTCTAGCTGTCTGACAGGAGCAAAGCTGTCTCTTGAGAAATCCAAATTCATGGCAGGCCATTCCGTGTTGTGTGTTCGCACAGTGAGGTTTCTAAGATCACGTAATCCCAACAAAGTTCCAGCCGGCCATCTCCCCAGCTTGCAGTGCTCCAGTTCCAGAGCTCTAAGTTTAGTGAGATGCACGAAGCTCTTGTCGTCCAAACTACTGCGAGACATTATGTCCGCATTGCATTCAATCCTGAGGGAAGTGGTGTGCTCGGAGGGAATCACGCTGAAATTGGTGGTGTCAAACTCGCTGTTGATGGTCCTTAAATTGCACGTCAACGCGACTTCGTCTTGGCCGCCCGCCGTGACTGGTTCTCGCACCCACCACTGGCAGTCATCCGGGGCTTCGTATCGCAGGGGCTGCGAAGAACTATCCGTAGGCACAAAGTCGTTGCCGCTCGCACTGGCCAACACCAAAACCACAAGAAACCCGAAAATTTTACAAGCCATTTTTCTCACAGCGATAAAAGTCCATACAGTAGCATGTTACAATGTCACACCCCGGATTAGAGCACACGAGCGCGTGGTAGTTGTACCGCCGAGAAGACTACCGATGTTGCCACCCCAAACGCTGAGAGCGAACTGACTAGGCGCCCCGTTGGCCGCTGGTATATACCCTCGCCTACCCCCACAGTCAGCGCGCACCCGCTACAACCACATTACTGTGCATTGTAAATATTAATAATAGTCGGTAATTGACGTTTATTGCTCGGCATCGCCGAGTTTTCGCGGCTGGAAAATATTTTAAATTTTACTAATGCCTCGTTGACATTTACTTATATCTATTTTTATTATAAATATATTTCCTTTTAGAAAACACGTTCGGGAAATTAAAACTAAAGTCTGTTTGAAAACTATGTGAGGTTTAAAATCGTGTTTTCGTTTTCGCTAGAATTTGGTGGTACACAATGGGAGACGGTTACGCCCGCGTCTCGCGATAATCGGCGACCGTCGGCATCGAAAGGCGACAAGCGACTAGATTTGGATGCTGGCCGCCGGAACGTGCATACATGACGGAAGGGGCTTGGACTCCACGAGCTTATGAAGTTCCGAGAGCGGCCGAAGCGCAGCGATGGCGCGCGACCTAGGCGTCTGCGCCCCACCCCCCGGCAGCGTCGTAAAGAAGGCGCTCGTCCTGGAGACCCAGAGGAAATTTATTCTCTCGGAAAAAATCGTCTGAGAGTTATTCAAGATATTGAATATGTTAAATCTAGCGGACAATTGGCAGGCATCAATAATGTGTGTATCGCTCTCCGATACACGTTCCAGGTCTGTAATCCAATTATTTTAGGGAGGAGCGCAATTCCGAGGTCCGATTGCGAAGGAGCAGCGCACTCTTTATGGCAAGGATTATGATTACACGGTCGAGTAGGGCGCTCTCTCTGTAAAACCAATCTGTTGCGTGATTCACCAGTCAGGATCAAACTCGGCCGGCGTAATTCCGTCGGTGGTGCAGCGTCGCGTCGGAAAAATCGCATAATTTCCTTGGCGCATTCCTAAAGGGTGGAAAACTTCAAACGTTCACGCTACATAACTCTTTAAATGAACAAAAAAAAACATTGGAAATAGTATACAGCGTGTAAGTAATGGCACATAAAGCAACAGCAAAAAATTGCTGAGTTGGTACACAAATGTGTCAATTAGTAGCTAAAATACTGAGAAAAACCGTCAATAGGAGCCCTAAAACTACGACGACACAGACTGTTAAAGAAATTGAAAAAATGTATTTAGTTTCGGTTAGCATTTGTAAGAAAAAATATATTTTTCATTTTATTCGAAAAAAAAACAAGTCATTTCTCAGTTATTATAATCGTTTTATTTATTTAAAATAAACCTGTGACATACCCGAATCTAATGCAAATCACTATACGTGCGTCACAAAAAAAGATGTGAATTTTTTATTGAAAATATTTTGTTTTATTAGAAATACAATTCTAACTAGAAATTCCTATTTTTTTTGCTAGAAATAGTTTTGGAGCTACTATTCACCTGTCCCAGGTTTATTTCAAGTTTAAAAAAATAATAACTCAAATATGGCTCGTTTTCATTTAGTGGCTTCAAAGTTGTAGGGTTCTAGGTGATTGTGTTCCTCAGTATATCCGTCACTGGTCTGCAGAAACTTTTTGCTTATAATTAGTTAAATCATTTGCCTAAGTTTCATTAATTTACGTCAAACATCATCAAAGACATTTAAGTAAATGTGATATTTTTAACTCAATACAACGAGATATTTCTGGGACAACAATTTTCTTACTGATTTGTAAGGTAGAATTCACCATTTAACACCTTGTATAAATAAGTTAACGGATTTTTTTATGTGAAAATTAGATGGAAAATTCTGATTAAAGTTTATCTATAATTCCAATAAATTCAAAAAATGTTTTTTAAATCCTGTCAATTGAAGTCAAACAATGTTTTTCAATTAAATGTCAGCAAGCGACATTTTGATTTTAGAATTGAAACCTGATTTCAGAAAATGTTGATCATGTTTCAGAAAACGGAAATTATTCTTCAGAAAACATTGTTTGTGTGTAAGAGGGCATGAAATATACTTCAGACTATTATTAACTATGTTACTTAATTAATTCATAAAAGCAACTATCATATTTTTTAAATCAATATTTGAACTCAATTTAACTTGAACTATGGATATAGCCGAAGAAAAACGTCACAACAACAATGCAGCGAATAATTTTTATAGAAAATAAATACTGGAAAGGTGTCCAGTAAAGTCGCATACTTATATACAGAGTGGCCCTAAAATTAGACATTTGACACTGTATACAACATTTCATCAAATACTTTGCTGACATATGTTGTAGCTACAAAGGTATAGAATTCAAAAGGAAAATATATTTCATTTAAAATTCCCATCGTAGATATACGGTGTTCCTGTTGCCTATTTTATTTGAGTTTGTATATTTGAACTTTATTAAATATTTTGACGTTTTTGCTTTATATTACTGATACAAATGATTTATATTTAAAAAGAATATATTTACAAACGATCATCCATATATTAGATACGGGAAGTTTCTGTTGAAAAACCTCAATCGATTTGGATTAATATTTGAAGCTGTAGAAAATTTTCCATCAAACATTCTGATTTTCTTTGCTTTGCTTATGATGCGTCCGATTTACTACTAAAAAAATTGCCTGATCATTTGGAACTTAAAAATTTTTACACATTTTGCCTGACATATTAAGTTGTCTTACAGTTAAACGCGAGTGGTTTGGTTATGGAAAACTATTTTCTAGAAAATAACCCTTGACTGATTTTTTGGCGTAAGAGTCTACTCCTTTTTTTCTTTGTTTTATCACAAACCTAACAAATAAAGGGAAAAGCGAAAATCTTGCCAAAAGAGACAATAGCTCACGTTTTAAATGTAGAATGTCCCTGTAGCAATATTTATTTGAATTTGACATTTTTTGATCGATTTAGACTAAAAAGGGGGCATTGTCTGAAAATATTTATTTGTGGTATTTTTCATTTCCTAGATGATTTTCTTGTGACCTAAATATATTTTTATACTTACATGAAATATAAATTACCTACAAATTCTCAAATTTAACAATTTCAGTAAAATAAAAATCGTTTAAAAAAATAGTAAAAAAACTTTTGACTTAAAGAACGCATCTACCTACCTTTTATGGTGAGGTATGGCAGCAAGGAAAAATAATTTTATTTTTGGGTAAAAAAATACAAATTTCACTTTTTTAATTTTACAGATTTTTCTGATATTTTTTTTAACTCCAACTTACAAGATGTAGGTACGTGGAGTGCCAAATTTGATAGGTATTACAAAAATAATGGAACAATATAAAATCATTATATAAAATATACAAATAATTATCTAAAATAAAAATTAAAAAATTATAATAATATGTTCAAGTTCATATTCAAATCATTAAATAATATAATCTTTCAAAGAAAAATCCCGCATTCTTGTTACTCTGAAATTACACATGACACGGACTAATACATAAACGCAACTAATAGAAATATCTGACCATTTCTACATTTAACTTAGGTTTGCTTTTTCAAGTAGCTTCCTATGAAATAAAATAGAAACATTTTTATTTATAAACACAGTTCTTTCACTAAATCCTCTGACGCAAGGGCTTATTTATTATATTTTTGTCTTATTGAGTGTAATAGAAACACCCAATCAAATAAAAAGAATATTTCCATTACAAGGTGTCCTGAAATTCATGCAACAAAATTTGATCATAGATTCTTAAGACAAATTTAGGGGACCCGATTTTTTTATTTTTGCCGCTGGCCCCCTCTTTCGGAGTTACAGCCCCCTGAAATCTGCTCCTAAGAAGTATTTTTTATATCTCAAAAACATGTTGTACGAGAATCACTAAATTTGCTCCACAGGGGTTTTATGACATGTGGAATCTCACAGTGCTACGCCTTTTAGCGAGAAACCCCCTTAATGCACTTTCTCGTGGGCCCCCTTGTCTTTGGAACTAGAAAAATTTGGTAGCAAATTTGATTTTTTTTAAAATTATTAATCAGCTAGAAAGTCATTGCATTTAGAAATTTTTTTGTCTCTTGATATTTGTTTCGTAAAACGCAATGTTTTTGAGGAAAATGGCGCATCATGATATACATTCGATCACATTTTGACATTTTTCTCGAAAACATTGCGTTTTACGAAAAAAGTATAAAAAGACAAAAAGTTTCTAAATTTAATGGCTTTCTAGTGGACTGATAATTTTTAAGAAATTTAAATATGCGACCAAATTTTGGCTCCAATACAGGCCCACGAAAAATTGTCGTAAGGGGATTCCCCGCCAAAAAACGTAGCACCATCAGATTCCACAGTTCATAAAATCCCTGTGTACCATATTTAGTAATTCTCGTATAACATTGTTTCGAGATATAAAAAAGACTTCGTAGGAGCATATTTCAGGGGGCTGTAACTCCGAAAGAGGGGGGCCAGTGACCAAATTTTGTTGCATGAATTTCGGGAATTACAGGGTGATTCAAAATTCAGTACAAAGGATTTAGAGGTTAAATGGTAGTATTGTCACTAGTAAGCAGTGATTTTCTCGAAAAAAAAAAAAAATAAATCGTAAAATTTTTTGGGACACAATTCAAATAATTTTTTTTATACAGGGTGTGGCGTGTATAATCTATAAAAATTGGAGTAAATACTTAATAAAATTTGAAAATATGGTGTGCATTTAATTCTTCATCAGCAAATATCTCGGAAACGGTTGACCCGAGAGATTTCAATCAAGTATCTTTTTAGCTTAAAATCGATAGGGAAATAAACTCATTAATACGAAACGTCAATGTACAGGGTAGCAAAAAAGTTGGGGCCAATTTAATTCAAGCGTGCCTACCCTTTAGGAGGCGCCCCCTACAAGCAGCGTCAAAACCAATGACTTATTTAAATTTAGCATCCTAAAAGAATTTCTCACCCCAAGTTTTATGCCAACATTCAAATTTGTTTGGAAATTCTTTGTACTGTATTTTGAATCACCCTGTATAACAACAAATATTTGACATTTTCGAAAACATGAAGCTTTCCATTAGTTTCAAGCAAGCTTGTTTGGAGCAGAATATTAAAAAATATATATATAGCCACAGGGTGTTCCTGTTACGAATTTCACTAGAATTTCGCCAACCATTCGAGGTTTTCCGACCGGCTCTCTCTATCGACTCCTTCTCCGGCAATAAAGCGCATCGATCCCGACATGTAAGCGGCGTGCATGCACGCCAGGCCCCGATTTATGGACTATGAGGTAGCGACATTAGTCTGCAGGTGTTTACTCCGGTCAAATCAGTGCCCGGAGTCGGAAAGTAATACAGTGCTGACCG